GGGGGCGCGCCAGGGCCTCTTCGCCTCGCCGCCGGGCGGCGGCTGCGCCTGTGAACACCGTCCGCTCGCGCTCCGCTCCTTCGGCTGTAACTTGCTGGAGGCGCTTGGGGCCGGAAGCGCTTCCACCCGCCCCGGCCGCTCGTGAAGCTGCTGCTGCTGCGAATGTTTTCCTTGAATGTGTCCAAGAAGCGAGCAGGGATGACCCACCGGGTCCGTTTTGAGCCTAGAAAGGAGAGGCTTCCTAGTTGGGTTTTCTAAAGAGGTTGGATTTTAAGCATGGGGGAGCTTGGAGAGGCTCGGAGTCTGGTCGGTGTAAACCTGCGCTGTCCGCGGGGTCCTCCGTCCGTCGGAAGCTGCCGCCCGAGTGCCATCAGTTAGTAGGAAAGGGAGAAACGTTTCCTTCTGAGCACAGCCTTAGCCTCCCTGAGTGTTCATGGTTGGGTCGGTCCCCGGATCCCACCAGGATTTAATAATATACGGGGCTGTGCAGATCTTGACACCACGTCCATTTTCTTAATGGCTCATTAAGTTTCGTTTCCCTGGCAGGTCTTTTTCCTTCTTTGATGGACAGTTGTCATGGAGGGAGGGTGTTGAAGGTGCTGGGCGTTCTCAGGTGAACAGCTTGGTGGTTCTCTCTAGCGAGATGGGTTGCAGGTGACTCATTGAATGCCTGCAAGGAGGCGCTGAGATGGGATAAGCCAAGCCCCCGGGAGGGAAAGTGGGGTAGGGATGGTCAGGATGAAGCAAAGGGGTAGGGCGAGGATCCACTCTATAGGGATTGTTGCTAACGTAAAGAATAAACATGTATTGTGAGATATTAAAGTTGTCACCACTCTAAACACAACTGTTTGTTTGACTTTTATTCTGTTTTTCACAGGTGGAAAGATAAACATGAATCCTAGGGATGCACATAGCATAGAGGAAAACCTTGCTTTCCAGATCAGTTATCAGCAACATTCAGAGATCATAAGGGGGGTTTTTTGGCCTTTTTTTTTTTTTAATGTGCAAAGTGCAGAAGGCTGGTGCCAGAAAGTGCAGGGACTTACCCATTTATTCACCAGATGTTTGAAGAACACACTGTGTGCAAGTATTAGGTGTGGTTTTGGAAATAAAATCAGAAAACATCCATCCTCACCACACTTTTGAGGCTGTGGAGTAGGGAGCTTTAAACACACAATTCTGAAACAACCTGGAAGAGCAGAGTCTGGCAGGCGGTGGCATCATGAAGGGAAGTGGAACCTGGCCTGGGAAGGTTAGGCAAGGCTCCCTGAAGGAGGTGGTATTTGAGCCCAGGCTTTAAGGTTAGGTAGGCAAAGAGGGAAAGGTGGACACTCCTGATGGGGCACCTAGAGATGGTTGAAGTTAACCTTAGGGATCCTGTCTAGTTTTTTAAATAAAGCAGAAAAAAATGAGTCTTAGGTGTAGTGAGTTGTCAGGTTCACATACTGATAAATATATATCTTGTGGGTATTTTTTCTTTTTAAGAGAATTGACTCTCTGTGTGTTTTTAATGGCTCGGGATATAATTTGTTGCTTAACCGTACCATTATTTAGATTGAATTGGTCAAGACCAATGAATAGTTTCTTAGTTAAAGAGCATGGTTTATTGTTTATTAGCTTACTTATCCTATAAATGTCACTGTAACTGTAGTTCTAAATATCGATTAGGGATTTGGATCCAGGCTTTGGAGTACTCATAGGTCACCCAGAAGGATTTCAATTGAACTGTTATGAATTGCACAATTTAGGAAAGTTACGAATCATGTGAGCTTAGTCATGATGACATCTTGTTGGAGTTGCAGATGGGTGTATAAGTCTCACTTTGATTCAAAAGTGGTTTCCCTTTATGTTGCTTTTAATAAAAAGAGGATGTTGTGGGAGGAAAGAAGCATGTAGGTCACAGATGAGGGATGAGCGCTGCATCTGAAACGTATTTAGAAGTTTACCTTGAGGTTTTTGGTGTGGGGATTTTTCAGATTGCACTGCCCATTTCTCATTGACAGCACCGTTTTGCTTGGTATTTTGACATCTGGCTTCCTCTTTTGATACTAATTTTTTTACAGGCTGCATTCTTTTGAAACCCAAACACATAACCACCCTAACTGTTCCAGGGGAGACTTAATGCACCTCTGCTTTGTAGTAGTCAGAGATGAACTGGATTTCTAGACTAGAATGAAGAGAAGAGTTTAACAGAGACATGGTGGGGAAATGAGAAAGCCTGTTGGCCTTTGCAGGGTTTTCCAGAACATTAAGTGTAGGTGTCCTTCAAGGCCAAGTGTGGTTGATTTTTGGATTCTTCACCATTTTGTATTTATGGGAGATGGTGAGTGTTTTTAGTGGGAAGTATAATTTGAGGAAAGTATGAAAAGGGGGCAGGACAGGCTTCACTGAGGTAAGGGAGTGAAATGAAGTGCTTTTTCATGTATCCCCTTATTTCTTAGTCCTAAAGCCAACCAAGGACATGAATGTCTTCCTCCCCACACCTCTCTTTTTTTCTTTTAACATGCGTTTAGGCTCTGACAAGTCTCATCTGCTGCCTTGGTTTCACCTACCATTTGTACACATTCTGATGAATGTTATCTCAAACGTAGACTTGTTCTCTGAAGTTTCACTCATATCCGTCTGTCCGCATGATGCTTCCACCTTGGTGTTCACAGGCGCTTCAAATATAACACGTCCAAAGTACTCTGTGTCCCAAGGAGGGATTCACCCACACTGTGGCTTATTGCAGAGTAAGCTGGCCAGGCCACCCCATCCTATGTGTTTTGGGGGAGTACCGAAGAGTAGTCAGGTTCATGTGTCTTCTGCACAAGCAGAATAAACACTCGACAGCCGTCCTGGCTTTATCTTTTCCACTCCTGACACCAGAAGTAGTGGTATGACACTGATAGTGTCATTTTGGGGGAACACTTGGTACTCCACGCAGCAGAGCAATGGTGAGCAGAGTGCTACAGGGGTTCTGCATTACACTTGCAAGGTGCATTCCAGGAAATGCAATTTGTTGCAAAAAGAAAAGAGAAATTAAGTAAAAAGTCCACACATGTTCCCAGACTCCGCTCATTTAACATTTCATTGTTTAAGAGTTGGTTTTATCTTTAAAATGTTAACTCTGGGCTTGATGAAAGAAATATGGATATACTTTATGTCTTTGTACCAAAGTCAATGGCCTAAAAGCTTATCCCAGAAATGAAACAATTTAGGCATAAGAGAAGGGTGGAGTGGAAGGTTTATCAGATCTCCCATAGGCCACTCCACATTTACATCTACATCTATATCTACAAAGCCAGTGCCGGCCTGAAGGTCCAACTTTCTCTATTCTTGAAGAACATGTACGAGGAACAAAGTTTCTGCTGCTTTTTACCACTGATGTCAATGTTGAAAGTCATACAATAACAGATTTGCTCTCTCTCTACCTAAAACCACTTTATGACTTATCAGTGACATGATTGCAAACATATGATGACCTAAAGCAAAAAAAAGTTCTGTGTAAATGAACAGTGTAATTGCCAACTGTATGTAAGGGACAAGTTGTAGTATGGAACTCCAGCTGTCCTCTCAATGTAAACCCCTTGGCCAAACCTGCCCCTTCCCGTGTTTTGTTTTGTTTTTAAATCTCAGTGGATGTGGTGCCACCGTGTTTCCAGGTACCCCAGGCAGAAGGGGGTCTTTCCATCGTTTGCACTTGGGATTGCTCAGCAGCTTACTAGCTGGTTTCCCAGGCCCCATTCCATTCCCCTCTCGCCCACTCTCCCTCCACCCTGCAGTCCCAGTGAAATTTCTGACTCACAGCTGTTGTCCTTATCCGGAGACCAAAACCCTTAATTTAGTTCCACGGCCCTTCATGACCAGGCCTCTGCCTGCTCTCCAGCCTTACCCCTTTTCACGTCCCGTGTGGTTCTGTGCTCCAGCCTGAGTGGCCTTCATTGCTGTGTGTCCTGTGCTGTTTCCTGTGGCCCTCTGCTTGGATCCGTCTCCTTTCTTTCTCCTCTTGGCTTCCTTTTCATCCTGTCTTAGCGTCCACGCTGTCTTCCTGAGAAAGCACCCATCCCCAGGCGGGGCTCCTGCTCCTGATCCCTCCCTGACTGCCTGCATACAGCCTCCTCTCCCTTGGTGCTTGACATACTTTGTAATAATTTTTTGGTGTAGTGGTCTTTCTGCCAGTGTCACAATATCAGAAATATATTTCTCTTTCTCAGTTATATCCCTGGTACCTGGAAGGTAGGAGATTTTCAATAAATATTGAATAAATGAGTAGATGGAGTCTGGTAGAAAGGGGTAAAAAGAAGTGCAGAATGTGTATGCAAGAAGGGAAAAGATACAGAAGCAGTGAGGAAGGGGTGAGTCTCTAAGGACCACTAGACAGGAGGCCAAGTGAGGGAAACCACAGCATGTGGCAGGGAAGAGGAAGGGGTGGGTACCGAAATCATAGTACTCTCTCTGACCTTTTGAATGGTCTGCTGTTTTCTGATTTGTGTTTGTAGCCAGCTGAAATGAGAAAAGCTCAGTAATTTAGGGTGATTGCTGGAGTAATTCGTAAAAATCAAGGAAGGCGTTCTCATTCTAGAGAGTGTGGAGCAGCTATTGTGGAGTTTTTGAAAGAGAGATTATGACCATGCGCTGAACTAAGGACGTTAAGTGGTTTGCTTATATTGTTTTTTGAGAGATTTGGATATGAATGGAGGATAAAAGCTTTTGGGAAGTAGGGGAAATATAAATGCTGTTGAAAAAGCTATAGAAAACTGAGACAGTCCATGGTGGAAATTTGGGAAGTGAAGTGCAATGAAATGTGGAGTATCTGAGAAACGGTTAGTTGCTAGTGAAGGGACAGGAGCAAGAGCAGATCAGTCTGTTGGATGGGGCAGTGCTTTTACCATGCAGTTTGGAACGGCTCCAGAACATGCAGTTGGAGCCATCTAGTTATTATAAGAGGACAAATTACAATGGAAGCATAGTAGTTAAGTATTTTAAAGTGCTTCAGCAAGCTACATTTAAAAGGTGCTTTTTATAGAGAAAATATACCTAAAGATAACCAGTGATGTTACTATCTTACTGTTATTTTTTTCTAAGCCTATTTTTATACATAGTTAAGATCATGCAATATGAATAGTATTTTTTAAGAAAATGTGCCTTTGTTTAATGTTATAACAAATACTTTCCCATGTTTTAAAAACCTGTTTTTAAGAGCATTTTATTTATATTTTTAAAGTTTTTTTTTTAAAATATGTTTTTATTGATATTAGAGAGAGAGGAAAGGAGAAAGAGACAGAAACATTGATCAGCTGCTTCCTGCATTTTCCCTGCTGAGGATGGAGCCCACAACCCAGGCATGGACCCTGACCAGGAATTTAACCGGCTGCCTCGTGGTGCATGTGATGATCGATGCTCAGCCAACTGAGCCATGCCAGCCAGGGCGAGAGCATTTTAAATGATTGCATTTTTTTGTTATGTAGAAGTACATTAACTTGCCTTGGCCAGTGTGGCTCAGTTGATTGAAGCGTTGTCCCATACACCAAGAGGTGGCTAGTGCAAGCCCCAGTCAGGGCACATACCCTGGTGTCGAGTTCGATCCCTGTTGAGGCATGTGCTGGAGGCAATCAATCGATGTTTCTCTCACACCAATGTTTCTCTCTCTCTCCCTCCCTTCCTCTACCTAAGAACAATTAAAAAAAAAAAGAAGTACCATAACTTATCTATTTGACAGTTATTACCTTGTTTCTGATTTTTGTTTATAAAAATAATGCAAGGCTGAACAGTGAACATCTTTGAGCTATTTCCTTACTTTAGCCTAGTTCAGTGGTTGTCAAACTTAGGTGTATATCAACACTACCTGGAAGGCAGGTTAAACACAGTTTGCTGAGCCCCACCCCAAGAATTTCTGATTGAGTAGGAGATTTGAAAACTGGCCTTTGTAACAATTCCATGGGATGCCAATGCTGCTGGTGGAGAGCATACTGAGAACGACTGGCCTGTAATATTGACAGTGAAACTACAGTATTGAGGTTGAGTTTCTCAGTCAGTAGGAGTGATTGTGATCTTGAATGAAACTGAGTTCATGTACCAACCTGTTTGTATCAGGAAGTGGAAGAGTGAAGAATCCTATCAGCACCTCAGCATTGAGCATTTGTGCAATTTGCGAACACAAGAGTGCTGTTCTGTGCAAGGTTCTGTGCTGGGTAGTGTAAGGTAGGGTATGTGACAGACAGTACGGAGCTCCCTTTTGGCCATTTTACAATCTATTTGTGAGATAAAACAAATATAACTCAAAAGTGCCAGAAGAAAGGAATAAACAGTGTTTCAGAATTCAGAGGGAGGTGAGGTCATGTTTGGTTGACTTGTCAAAAAGTAGGAGAGCAGGAAGTAGAAGGTCCAAGAACAGCTAGGCTATCTTTAAGAAGTTTAAAAAGTATGACATCAGTAAAGCTTGGGGTCTCCGGCCAGCTGGCCCAAGCTCTGATCCCAGTTCTGTGCTACATTAGCTTTGTGATCCTCTTCCTGAGTCTATCTTGTCATCTATAAAATGGGGATAATGCCTCAGGGGTGTTTGTGGAGATAACATGAAACACCCACCATAGTGTTTTGTAGGAAACACTAAAAAATTGCTGAATAAATGGTAAGTTTCTTGAAGGTTTTTATTGGTGCTGCTAAGCATTACAAACATTAGCAAGGCCAGACTTCCACAACCATCCATAGGCATGAAAGTGATCGATGTCTTCTTAAACAGCTTTCCTTTGGATTAAATTTAAAAGGAACTTTTGTTAACAGAAAATGGTGAGACTCAGCAAGTGTGAAATTTGCTGCTACTTTGTGTAGTGTTATCTTGAGTTAGACCCTTGAGTGGACTTTGAATGAGTTTACTTTGATTGTTTAGCAGCATGTCTACTCCCTGATGTCTTCAGGGTTGCACAGGGAGGAGGTATTTTTCCTCTTTTTTTTTTTTTTTAATGTATATCTTTATTGATGACAGAGAGAGGGAGAGAGAGCGATAGAAACATCAGTGATGAGAGAGTCATTGATGGGCTGCCTCCTGCACCATGCCCAATGGGGATCAAGCCCACAACCCAGGCATGTGCCCTGATCCGGAATCGAACCATGATCTCCTGGATCCTACGTTGATGCCCAACTGCTGAGCCACGCTGGCTGGGCCATTTTTCCTCTTTGACCACTCTTTATAAACTGACCCTTCCCGCGCCCTGTGTCTGTGTCCTGCTTTAATGTCCACAGCACTGACTTGCATTTGCTTGTGCATGTCTGTCTCCCACACTAAGATGAGTGCTGCATTAGGCAAGAACTTGGTTCTGTTTAAGGCTCTCTGTCAGTACTTAGCCTAGTGCCTGGCACCTAGCAGTGAATGAGTGAACTGATGAACAAACCAGTTCGGAAGTTTAGGGGAAGAAGTAGAAGAGTATTGGATTGGTTCTTTATTTTACACATGGTTTTGTGAGCATATTTAACCTCGGCAGCAATTCACTTGTATTTTAAGCTCCTGCTCTATTTTGAGGACATCCTAAGTCCAGTGGAATGATTTTGAATACCATTGCTTCTGCAGTGATATTTGTTGAGAGAAAAGAAAAGCCTCAGCTCAAATATTTTTAGACAGTTTCTACAGAGACTTAAGTCACCAAAATTGTATTTCGGAAATTCTCCTGATTTTGGAAGAGGCAGCAGAGTTGCTGTTGATGACAAGTGACTTATAGGGCAGACGTACTTTACATTGTTTAATCTGGCTCTGTATCAAATAAAAACATTTTCGTGCTTGTTTCATTTTTGGGGCAGTGATCTTTACTTTTCTTGGGTTCCAAGTCAGTCTGGTAAAATAATTAATGTTGATTTTTCCCAGGGACTAATTTGGTCTTACTACTTTTACTTCCTGGTGTCCACTGGGTTGATAATCTGCTGTGTTTGTTTAGAGCAGCAAAATAGGGATATTATTACTTTTTGTTCTTTAATTTGGGATATGTGATTTTTCTGTAAAACATTTACTTTCCCAGTTTTGGTTTGCTCAGGCCATTAATACGTTTGTTGCTCTTTCTTGTTACACATCAACTGATAAGAAACTAATGTAGCCCAGATTGACAATTGCCAGGTTGAGTTGGCCACCTTGGTCTTAGGAATTTTAAACATACAAGCCAGAAATGCCTTTAATTTAGAAATTAGGTCACTGCATAATATGATACTTGTTGAGATATCAAAATTATCATTATCTGTTATGAACATGGACTCATGTTCATATTTCCCTCGTTCTCACAAATATCTTTCCATGGTTTGTTTGACCTAGGACCTAAAAAGGTTCACACATTGGCTAGCTTGCCCTATTCTTGTCTATTAAGTCTCTGCCCATCCCTTCTTTCCCATGCCATTTATTTTCTAAAGACATTGGGTCATCTGTTCTGCTGGAATTCTAACATTCTGGGTGTGGCTGATTGCATACTAAGGTTATTTAACTTGGCAACATTCAACATTTATGTTTTCAAAACTAGAAGTTAGATCTTGATTAGATTCAGGTTCAATTTGTGGTTTTTCATAAGAATACTTCATAGATTATGTGTTGGGCAGTTCATAATGTGTTACATTAGGAAGAGTTTGTCTGACTCTCTCATTTTAGTAATATTGCAATTGATTAGTAGGTTTGGGTATTAATAATTTTTTGGCCTTTATTTCAGAAAAGCTTGATTCTTTGCTCTCAGACTACGATATCCTCTCTTTATCCAATATCCAACAGCACTCGGTAAGAAAAAGAGATCTACAGGCATCAACACATTTAGAAACACTATTGACTTTTTCAGCATTAAAAAGGTAATTTTAATTATTCATAGAAAAATGTTGGGGCAAATGGGACTTGGTTTGGCAAAAGCAGAAAAATAAGTCCCCCCCCCCCATA